CACCCTCTTACACCGACAGCTCTGCCAGTCACCCTCTTACACCGACAGCTCTGCCAGTCACCCTCTTACACCGACAGCTCTGCCAGTCACCCTCTGCCTCACAGCCTCCTCTCTAATCCTGGTCGAAACCTTGGGCCTCAGATCTAATCTCTGAGGCTCTGGGCTCTCAAACCAGCAGATCTGGCTTAAAAGGGCTGATCCTGAAGGGCGTCTAAAAAGACCTGGATTCTGTCTCCCTCCTGGGGAGATTTCCCCAGCCCCTGCCAGCATTCACCACCACTTGTCTTCTTCCTAGAAACCAACCACCCCCACCGCTCCAGGACATGTCTTCTCAGAAACCTCAAGTCCATTTCCACGTACCTGTGCAATTAAATTCCTATTATGTTAGGGCTCACACACTACAGATCAATTAGATACATGTCATCAAGTGGCGGAGGAATTCAGGCAAACACTGTTTCAGTTGGCCTCACCGCTGTGCCCAGCTGGGGCCACACACATGGATGAAGCTACTCAGAGCTGTGGGCCATATCCCAATATTTGATTTTTAAGAAACTTTATGTGGAAGAAAAGAGTGATGCACAGAAGAGTTTCAGTTTACCTCCTTTTTTTTTTTTTTTTTTGAGACAGAGTCTCAATCTGTCTGTTGCCCAGGCTGGAGTACAGTGGCATGATCATCTCAGGTCATTGCAACCTCTGCCTCCCAAGCTCAAGTGACTTTCTTGCCTCAGCCTCCCGAGTAGCTGGGATTACAGGCGCCTGCCACCATGCCCAGCTACTTTTTGTATTTTTAAGAGAGACGGGGTTTCACCATGTTGGCCAGGCTGGTGTCAAACTCTGACCTCAAGTGATCCACCCTCCTCAGCCTCCCAAAGTGCGGGGATTACAGGTGTGAGCCACGGTGCCCAGCAGAGTTTCAGTTTCTTCTTTGCTCTCCCCTCAGGATGTTGTCCATGTTAGAACTTCCCCTCCAATCTGATGGCCAGGATTCCCTGTCTCCCAACTTCTCGCCTCCTAAATGACAGTGCAAGAAAAAGACTTTATATAACAGGATGGGGATGGAGAAGAGGGACTGAACTCTATTCACCGAAGTGCTGCTCTGCATGGCTTAGAAGGGCGGGGCCACACTGGGCTCAGTGGCTCAAGCCTGTAATCCCAGAGCTTTGGGAGGCCGAAGCAGGCAGATCACCTGAGGTCAGGAGCCTGGCCAACATGGCAAAACCCCATCTCTACTAAAATAAAAATACAAAAATTAGCTGGGTGTGGTGGTGTGCGCCTGTAATCCCAGCTACTTGGAAGGCTGAGACAGGAGAATCCCTTGAACCTGGGAGGCGGAGGTTGCAGTGGGCTGAGATGGCGCCACTGCCTTTTAGCCTGGATGACAGAGCAAGACTCCATCCCAGAAGAAGAAATAAAAAAGGGGGCTAGAGGGATAGCCCGTCCCTGACTTACCAACGACCTGCAAGCCCTTATGGCAAAGCCTCATGGGACCCTCCAGACGACTTCTGCACCCTTTAGATGACTTTTTACTCTTCTCCAAACATTAGAATTTGTG